TTTTTGGATCAGTTATGTTGGTAGAGACGGATTCCCACTTTCTTTAGACAATTTTAATACTATTATCAAATTCCTTATATTCGAGTCCTTTCTTTTTACAATTTACACATTCTCCGGAAATACACTGTTCGCTATATCTGTTGCAACAAATTGAGTGAAGCAGATTTTGATGGTTTGATATATATATAACTTTGTTTTGGAATAGAGCCGTAAGAATCATAACCATAATAGCATGTGTAACGCACAAACAAGTTTCACGTTTGCTACAAAACTATTGTACGATCCAAAATGGCGTTAGGCGACAGAATAGAGAATATGAGATCGTTATATTATACTTCTTTATAAAATATTTGTGGAGTTTTCAAAGAGTATCCAAAAGAACTCTCTTTTGTTTCCGGTCTCCATTTTTTGTCACATAACCTCTTTTTCCGGCACATAACCTGGTATTAGAGTTATCTTCAAGAAAATTTATAATTTTATTCTTCATTGCTTCATAACTTGCTTTGGCTTTCCTTTTATTTTCTATTAATAGTACTTTTACAAATTTTCTCAAAGGTTTCATTTTTTCGTTCTGTAGTATACCATATTTTTTCATAATTTTCCCGCTTATCATTCTTTTAAAAATTCTTTTTTCTTTTCCGTTTTGTAGGAAAGAATAGTTTTCTTTTAATTGTTGCTTGAGTACTTCTGCAAACAGCAAATTTTTCTTAACTGTGTCTGTGGCACTTGGAGAATTCATCAATTGTTCTACTATGATGTTGGGTGTAAGTTTTTCAGGCTTTCGTAATCTTTGTAACCTGTTTTTGTAACGTGCTAATTTGGTTTTTAGTTTATTTATAATCTCGTCTTTTTTTATTAATTAAATATCTTTGTCGTCTAGCTCGGTCTGATTTAGTTTTGGCTGCAACCCTTTTACGGAAATTACTTTGCGGTATCTGTTGATCAAAATCTGTAACTGATGGTGTTACGATGTTCTCTAAGAGTCATTTGTTCGACAGTTTTAATGATTCCTTTCTCCTTCTTTTTTAAATATTTTTCTTTTTGCTTTTGCAGTTCATACATTTCTGGATAATTTTTAATCTTTTGATAACGTAGCTGCTTCTGCTTCACGTTTCTTCTGCAATCTTTCTTCGCGTGTTAACTTTTTCCGTGGTTCCATCATCTATAAAAATTAAAATAGCATAATAACAATATGAACTAAGAACCTCCTTTAATTTTGTATCGTAACAATTTGCATTTGTAATAATCATTTAAAACTGACGTCGATAGAATTTGGCTATATCTGCATTTGTACAAATATCTTATGATGGATAGTATCTCCCCTGGCAGTTGTTTTGACAGGGGAAATACGGTAGGGGGAGACGTTTTCATGACAAATTCAATTGTTTTAATTGACTGAATTATTTTTGGTCAATTATTTATCTCACTTTAATTATCACAGTATTAATAATTTAGGACAATAAATGCAAATAAATTAAATTAATAGTATAAGTTTTATGAATTACCAGTAGAGAGACAAGATCACTTCGCGAAACCACTACACTAGAGCTGGAAAACTATCGATGGCACTATCGATAGTATCTATGGTTTTTGACTATCGAAAACATCGATGGTTTTGTAAGCACTATCGATAGTTTTCACTCGTACATACATTATTCAGTAACATACATATTTCAGAGCGCAGATGCTACTTGAAGCTAAAAATCGTTGATAACCTTTTGTTCCTTAAAAAAAATATCGTCTTATTTTAGCAATTCTGATTCGTTCGAACGAAAAATGACACTGAAGATGGCACACCGCCGAAACCAGTTTGTCTCCAAACCAAATTTGACAAGGGATGACGGAAATTCGTTCCAAAATACGAAAAAATACTACTTCTTTCCATTAACCCTTAATTAGGCAATTAAAGAAAATGCATGGGGTCCTCAGTGACCCCAATAATAGTGTTGAAAAAAAGAGTTATGAAAATAAAAAAACCAAGTGTGTATTATCAAAAATATTAAAGCACTCTATGATCGTTAACTTAAAAAAAAACATAATTTCGCCTTCAAACTTAAAAAAAAACTTACCTCCGGCAAAAAATGTTACGTAAGTGGTCGCATGGGGTCAACACTCAAGCGAGTAGCGACACATGTGTACGCAACGATGTTCTAGCCGTGACTAAATAAATAAAACGAAATGTGTACTGTCATAAATGTTAAAGCCCATTAGTGTAGTTAACTTTAAGGAAGAAAAGCATAACTTTGACTTCAAACTTACAAAAATAAAAACCTACCTCCGCCGAAAAATTGTACGTAAGTGGTCGCATGGGGTCAGGTCCTAATACAGTAGCGACACATGTGTACACGCCGATTTTCTGGCCGTGACTTATTTACATACCACGCGGGGAGTTAGGAAGCTAGAAAGAGCGCGAGCACGCTCCAAGCACTCCAAAACATTTTTTTTTCGACTTGATTGAATACTACATCAATTTTATTAGAAGACAGCAAATCAGCAATATTAATATAATGGCAAGTTTACGCCTAACGATTAATAAAAAAAATTTGACTGCGCTCGAAAAAGTCAAGGTAACCTTTGTTTTGCAGGTTCGCGACCCTCTCAATCTCTTGCTTCACGCTCAAATCGTCAGATTATTGAAATGCACACTTTTCAGCATGCAATTAACCCACCATTTCTTAATCTGACGCGCTCGAGTAAATCCACATATCAATTTTTTACTATTCTGATCAGCTGCTCTGTGCGCGCGGCTCTACACAGATGGCTTAGATTTAGCAGAAGTACTCAGTAGGATGAAGGATGCATATATTAATCTGACGCGCTCGAGTAAATCCTCGAATCATCTCTTGGGCTCCCCTACTAATAGATGTGTAAAACTTTATATTAAAGTACTTAAAATTCAAGAAACAAATTTGTATTGTGTTCCCCGCCACACATAGCAGGCAGTGTGTCCCCCGATTGCCTAAAAACGAGCCATTCTTGTTGAACAAATTAGCTTTTTTCTGGATTGCGTTCATAATAATATATCAAATCATCTTACAATAAATCTTCTTAAGTTAGACTGACTTCCAAAACGTCAATTGCTTTGCATACGTACAAAGTATAATGTCCCGTAACGCCGAACTACAAAATGTTGACAATGTATACTTTTCCAAAACGCATTCGAAAAGTTATCGACACGCATCGCTAGAGCAATTAGCGCATCAGTAGCAAAGTTGATGCTTCGTTTGATTTTGGTTACCATTGGTGTTTTAAAAATGGAAAATTCTGAAAAATTGTTCATTGCTAAATTGAATATTTAAAATATGCAATCTATAATGTTGCAATGTGTCGCAGCTATGCATTTACAACCAGTTTGAATACCGTAGTATAACAGTTTCCAAACATTGTATTGGTACGTTTTGGAAGTCAGCCTTATCCAGATCATTTTTGTCGTAATAAAATAGTAGTGGTCGCCCCATCGTGCGAACAAGCTGCCCATACCATAACGTTGTGTTCGCCCAAATTATCACAACAGGAGTCTGACCGGTCTAAATTTTTTTCCATCATAAAAATAATATTTCGCCACTCATGGGTCCAGGACATGTACATATGTACATACGGCCAAACTTTATCCTCTTAATTTTGTGGAACTCTGTCAAGCGTAATTTTGGTTTATTTGATGGTTTTTGTAGCATTTAAAACCCCAGCAATATGCCGAATCGCAACGAAAATATTAAGGGTATTCATCAAACCTTATAAATGCATTGTAAACCGTATAAACTTATAATTGTGTAAACCTTATAAATGAACTGTCAAAATTTGTATGGAAACTCGTTTACACATTTCTGATAAATTTATCCAGCGATTTCACTGAATAAACTTGATAAACTGAAGACAATGCAACTCTGTCGCAACTCTAGCTATGTTTTCTTAGGCAATAATCGGGATCCGCATACAAATTTTGCACGCAAATTCAACCACGATATGATCCTGATAGAGATCTGGTTCAATTATTATCCCGTCTGTTTGTTTTGCTTCACTGATAATTCGCAAAGTTTGGTAGCCGTGATAAATGAATTCATACACAACCAGACATTCTGCCATTGTTTCTTATAACTTGCTTCAAATAAATAGCCTTATGTTATATGTACATTTATTTAAATAGATATCTCGTAAATATAATTTTTTCCAATTTAATGAGGTAGTTTCTATAATTTCTTTATCCCCGTGCTAGTAGTATAAAGTTAGTGACACTGCGCTTTATAACCAAAGGAAACACGATTATTGTCGCATGTGTAAACGAAAAGAGAGTGTGGGTCGTTCATGTAACAGAGTGCATAAACTTATAAGATTATCTGCTTGATAAAGTTATCGGTTTAGATGAATACCACTATTTAGTTTCCCCTTTATTTGCTTAGCTGATACGTCTATTCTAGGTAGCTTCATGGTGAATTCGGCCTTTCTTACGCTAGGTAAATTTCGAATTTCCTTTAGTTGCGAGTTTTACCTGGAAATTCTTCTCCTTTAGAATTTTGCTTATTTCAACCTCGCAAAGAGTTAACCCTCTTCCTTTGCCCATGAAACTTGTATTGTATGAAAACACCACGCATTTGTTAATGGCGCTCTTACACGATATGTATTTGCATATGTAAATGCACATTTCTGGTGCATTCTAATATATGGTACATATGAGTAGATACAAAAAAAGTAGCATTTACATATGCAAATACATGTCGTGTAAGAGCGCTGTAAGCAAACTTCTGGACTTACCTTTTAAAAATTAAATAATTTAAATTTTATGCCTTCTTACGCAATAAATATAATTAAAACACCCAAATGCCTATACACGAACGTCCAGTGAAATGATTGCGGGAGCTGGATACGCCACCTATCTACCCCAGCGTGAAAAATAGAGTTATACATCAAGCCTTGTTACGGCACATTTCTATTATAACAGACTATAGTATCACACTTGAAGTGCGTATAAATGAATGTATAGCACTGTATGAGTATCTACCTACTTTAATAGTTTCCAGAGCGTCCAATAATTCCTGAAACACAAAATTACTTTTGCAGTTTGGCTTATGATGATTTCAAAGCAGCACTTGATTACACAAAGTTATAGTTTGTGTTGAAAAGTAACTGTTGCTATAAATCTTCGTTGTGGGTTTAATTTAGCTAGTGGATTTGTTAAAAAAAATATTTAGCACACTTTTACACCAGCCGGAATGAGGTCAACCGCATTAGTAAATTCAAACAGTTATGGATAACCATATTTCAGCTATTTTGAAATATCTGTTATTTAAATAAAACCCACTTATATTTCATTATTAAATATAAAAATTATAGGGCAAACAGCATTTACTATTGCTTTATTTCACTTTTTCGTAGTATTTAAAAAGACTTCTGGCAAGCTTATTCAATAAGCGATATAAATTTGGCCAGCAATCATAGCACTTTCAATTTTTAATTGCCAAACTCTCAATCATACGTGATTAACGGCAGTCTCCGGCGCATTTCACATACACACAAACATTTAAAATTTGTTTAAGTCTATAAACAGTGGGGAGATATGTACCTATTACTTATGTATTTGATTTTCTAAAAATTTTAATGTTTCTCAAACGGCGAATGCATATAAGCATATCACAAACCTTCTTGGCGCGCGCGTCAAACACGACTGCACTTCCTCGGCATAAAGGCAAGTCGGACCAAGTGTACGACATGAGCAGGCATGGCCACTACCACAAACAAGCGATGTACTCAACATGCGCATGCATTAGTGTGCTAACGATAGAACGATGGGACATAATGGAGTTTTGATAACTATTTTTCGTTATTGTATTTCTTTATTTTGATAAAAATAAGAGCTAACAAAATTTTATAACATCTAGGGCTGTTCAGGGAAAGAAAGCACGTGCTTGAAGAATGTGAGGAAGACGTAATAATAGGAGCAACAAATTTAATTAAAAGGAAAGAAGGAAAAATATTTAATTCGGCAATTGTGATTTAGTCTACTTATAGTTTATATTAAAACTGTGGATGAAAAAACGAATTCATGTGGGTAATGGTATACTGTTGTTTTAATATTGTAAATGGCGTTAGCAAGGTGAATTCCTAGAAGGCGGTAGCAGTAGCATGAAACCAAAAGTTATATTAACACATTATGCGCTTAATGGCTAAGAATTACAACAAATGTACAAAAATACAACATTTCGACATTAAGAACCACCGCGGCGAAAAACCAATTGCTCTGGTCACACCACCTTTAAAGTGGATCCTTATATGAATTCGTCTTGGCCGTTACCCTGCAAAAATCGCATCTACTCCATGCATGCATTTAAAGAGTACTCCCTAAGTGTCAAGGAGTACTCCAAAATTAACCACAATTCTTATAATACACGCAAAAGTACTCCAACATATTAATATTGGCATTGTTGATATATTTTTTCGTGCTGATTGCTTTTTCGCTATTAATAAAAACAAGAAACAAAAATAAAAATAAAAAATTACATGTTGCCTCGGACGGAATTCGAACCCAAATATGCTGGGAGCTAACAAATATGAGCAAGCATCTCTACACGTTTAGCCACAGCCAGTCATGCAAATTTGCTTTCATATGCTCAACTTCAATCACATTTCGTTAAAACACGAGCAGTGATCGAGTAACAATAAGCTGGTGCAGAGACACGAGTAGGCCCGCTACAGCATGACAGAGGAGCACTTTTGTAAGTACTGCAATATACCACAAATAGACTACGTGGTCCAATGATTTGTGCAGGGTAGTATGTCGGTATTCCATTATAGGTTGCAGCTGCATTATTTAACTAAACGTTAAAGAAAAAAGAAAAAGCATAAAACCCTAGTTCTTATTTTTTTTTGTTTTGTAGACATATAAATAGAATACTGTAAAAATATATTGCAGAGTGAAAAATTTAAATAATGAGCAATTTAACTGATACTTGGTGTTTTTCTCCCAACCAACGTAATAATAAATGTTTCATTCGTTGACAGCTTCTCGTTCTAATCCGTAATACTAAGCTTCTTTAGAAAATTGAGTTGCCTCTTTTGACCAAACCAACCATTGTGACTTCTCATCACTGTTTTAAATAAATAAAATATTCAATTTTCCTTCGTCTGAAATATTATAAATATGTATATTCCTATACATCCATTTAAGCCCACTGTTAAGCCCATGAAAATTCGCCTTGAATTTACCCATTTGACTGTTGCAAACGAACTAAATGATTTTCTCGCTGAACTCGTTACTCTCCCTTTTTGTATACATACCAGTGATGGAAAAGTAGGCACAATAGTGCCGTTTTTGGCACTTTCATATTCAGAGGCAGTTTTGGCACAATTCATCCAGTTTTGGCACAATCATAAATTAAAGAAATTCAGCATAATAAGCCAATATATAACAACCAATCATATATTACATTATAGATTCGAAAAATGAAAATTAAAACGACTTAAGAATTAAAATAAGGGAAATTACATGAAATTAATAAAAATTATTCAATGTAAAGAAAAATAGTAAAAACTGCTATTAATTTGCCCATAGGCATATATATTAGGGTGCCCATCGAAAATGCTTGTTTTGGAAGTTTCAAGACCCTGCTCCCTAATTTTATTTGTTTTTATGTGAAATATTATTGCCTATTTTAATAGATTTTTATACCCGAGCGCACTTGTGCACAAGGGTATTATAACTTTGTTCACATAACGGTTGTTTGTAACAGGCAAAACGAATCGAGATAGATATAGACAAATGTATACATAACAGATCAGGATGAAAAGAGAAATCGATTAAGCGGTGACTGTCTGTCCGTCCGTCCGTCCGTCCGTCTGTGCACACGATAACTTGACTAAAAATTAAGATATCTTAACGAAACTTGGTACGCGTACTTCTTTCTGGCGTAGGACGTATGGTATTGAAAATGGGCAAAATCGGACAATAACCACGCCCACCTCCCATATAACGGTAATTTTTAGAAATACAAAAACTGCGATATTTTAGTAATTACTGAAGATTATTCACTCAAAATTGATATTTACAATACTTTTAAGAGGAAAAATAAGAATATTATAAATTTTTGAAAAATGGGCGTAGCCACGCCCACTTATGGTTACATGTGTATATCTTGGCAACCGCTGCACCGATTTCTTCCAAACTTGGCACGGTTATTCGCCTTGGTACCGGATACCAAATGGCCGAAAATTTTTAAAATCGGACAATAATCACGCCCACATCCCATGTAACGGTAATTTGGAGAAATACGAAATCTTTGATAAATCAGTAAATATTAAAGCTACTTTATTTATGTTGACTCTTGTAACAACTCTTTACCAAGAAATACGTTTATGATAAAATTTTGTAAAATGGGCGTGGCACCACCCACTTATGATCACATATATGTATCTCGGTAACCGTTCTACCAATTTGTACCAAACTCGGTATGGTTATTGTGCTTGCCACATAAAAGCAAAACGTTGAAAATTATTGACATCGGACTAAAATTGCGGCTTTTCATATAACGGTAAACTTTAGAAATGCTTGAAACTTCAATATTTCGAAATCTAAGGACGCTAATTTACTCAAAATTGATACACCCCGGCTTACCATGTAGCGGTAGCTTTCGGAAAGGTGGAAAACATATATTTAATATTTGCGCCGGGTATTTAATGTTCGGCTCCACCCGAACTTAGACTTTCTTACTTGTTTAAAGGTCACTTAGTGGTCGCGACCTAGGATTTTGTAGATTTATGAGTTTTTGAATGACTATTTTTGATTCAATTTCAAAGATCGAATGTGATCTCAGAAGAGGATAAGTTGGCCTTTAAAATGGTATATAAAAACCTATTGCGGACTTGGATTGTTGGGATTTTTTATCGGGTTATATGAAAAAACCCATATTTCTCTTCATTTTTTAAATTGTAACCATCGATAATTTCCACAATTTCAAAATATGTAGTACAATCTAAAATTAAATCTATTTTCAAATAAACTGATAGAACATTTACTGCAATCGCATAAAAATTTCCGAAGTTAGGCGACTTTTCTTAAATACCAAGAAACATACATACGTCAGGAACCGATAATAGAAATGTTTATCTTTACGGATAGCTTTGAATATAAAGTGAGCTTAAAGTTAAATGTACATGTTAGTATGTACAATCTACCAATGTGAATATTTTTAAAGTCCGTGCATTTCTCCTGACTTTCAGAAAAACTTTGGTTTATTAATTCCCCAGCCGACTGCTGAGCAGTGTAATTCAATGAATTAATAACTATAATATTACTTTACTTTACTGTACTTTAACCCTCCGTCGGCTGCAACTGATCTGTAAGGCACAGCCAGCACATTTTTTTACTTCGCCGTGCCCTTTTATACCGATTACTTTGCTGACGCTCAGTAGCTTCCTCTTTTGAAGTGCTCTATACAGCAAAACCACTCAGTTTTCGTTTGACTCCCAAAACGAGAAGTTATGCAGAATTTGATCTGAGAAGCTCATTGCGCCCAAACTCGTCAAATGTAATAAATAAATTATTTTTAGATTTTTTTTTAATTTTATTATTCATCTAAAAGTAGCTATTATGTACATGTCCCAGAGTTGAATCTTTATGGAATGTTTGCATTTTTTCTAATCTATTTTACGTTGTATTTTTTGACTTCATATTAAGATTTTTATAGAAGCTGCTAAATTTGTGTAAAATAAACACCCTTAATGCCGTGCCAGTATTCCCCAGATGTATAAACAATATAATTAGTTTGTTTAGTATGTGTTTTTAAAAGTGTACCAGTTAGGCACATTGCACGCGAAATTGACAGTCACCATAATGCGCCTGACGAAGGGTTAAAAATACTATTTCTGAAAATATATTGTTCTTAAAGAGTCTTGAAAGAAAGCAATTTTAATATTGTTGTACTTTCATCTCCTTTTCGGCACTATTTTTGCAGGCCATTAGGCACTTTTCGAAATTTTGAAATTCCACCCCTGACACCTACCCGCATTTTTACACTCACGTAGCACCTGCTACATCTCTGCCTATGCCTGGGCATGAGCCACAGACAAAATGAGCAACAAATCTGCAAAGAGCAAAGTCAATGCATGCATCGGTATCAAGGACTGTATTGGTGGTAGAAAGTTTGATAGTTAGTGACAGTGTTGCCACAAATATTTTTCTTTTTTACCAAAATCGCCGGAAAAAGTTACCAAATTCAACAAAAAATTACCAAACTTATTTTATGTGCAGAACTGTACAAACATACACTCTACGAAATATATATATATATATCTTACAAAAATCCGTAAAATGTGAACGTGTAATTATCGATCAATTTATAGTTTCATACGCTTTAGTAGGTATTACTAAGTGATCGTATTTATGATGTGTTTAGCGTGTTTCCAGGTTCCGTTATCTTTATTTGAGTGGAAAAATCTGAGAGGGTGGTGCGAAATAAGTAAAGCATACAATTGGAAAAGCCTTAATCTGATGTGGTTACTTTTAATTGTGTTTGGATTAAACTTTTTGTGAGAGTAAGTTTGTGTGCTAAAATTACTTCAAATTTATTTTCATTATATTTAAAGTAGAAATACTGTCCATTTGAATAGAAATGCCAAGCGGAACTTATTTGACATTTGGAGAACGTACGAGAATCCAAACTTTACGGGATTGTAG